CTAGAATAGATGATAAGTTTATTTATATTAAAAATTTTTATCCTGATATTTTTGTACAATTCATGCGATGTCGCCTGGAAAAAAATAGGACTTTTGTGGAAATGTGTTATCACGAGGGAAAGGACGGCGTCAATAATGGTTTGAATTGGCGCCAAAAATCATTGTTATGTCATTACTTGCAAAAAAAGATGGGCATCTTTGAAATTTTAAAAAGATCAATTACATTGAGTGGCAGTTCTGTACAACAACACGCCCTTTAGCACGTGAGGTTCATTTTGTGTACATAGAAAGCAAAAACTTGTTTTGCATCATGTTTGATGCGTACAATTCCGTAATTAGAAACTGATTAAAAAAAAAAATATTGATTCTAATTGATTCTATTATAACGATAATGAAATGATTCTAATATATAAATAAATAACATATTCGATTTCATATTTAACTGTTTTTTGACTTGATACTTCGCTTCGTACGTTTAACCGTTCAAGTTTACCAAATCAAACCGGTCCATTCCTATTATACCAAAAAACGATGGCCATCTTTGTGGACACAGATTGCGTTGGTGAAGTTGCTCTTAGTAACCTAAAACTGTACAAATACTCTGCGATTGATAAGTCACCAATTTCAAATTACGTATTGAAACCATATTGGAATTGGGCTGTCGAGCTTTTTCCCCTGTGGATGGCGTGAGTTACTTTTGTTTTTACTTGTTTGATGATTTGCACGAATTTAATCCTTTTTATTTATAAATTCATTCTTTAGACCAAATTTGATTACATTATGCGGTTTAGGTTTCGTTATATTAAATGTTATAGGTGTAATAATTTGGATTCCAGATCTCGTGGGTCCTGGTCCACGTTGGCTATATTGGAGGTAATTAATAGTCTGGATGTTCAGGTCAATTTCAAGGTATTTTTTTTCATAAGTCGACTTTTATTTATTAACGTTAATGTTATCTCGGGCAATTTTGTTGAATAATAGTTTTCCGATCGGTTTATGGCTTTATTCAACATTTGATAATGTTGACGGTAAACAAGCTCGAAGGACAGGAACTTCGTCTCCTCTTGGAGAACTTTTTGACCATGGTTGCGATGCTTTGAATTGTGCTTTTGGCCCATTGGTTTTCTCGGCTGCACTGGGGTTGGGACATTCTTACCGTTCTGCAACTATTTTCCTTCTTACAGTTATTCCTTTTTTTTT